CTGACAACGAGGAACAGAGCGGGCATGGGGAGCAGAGAGCCAGCCCAGCCCGGCTGCCCTTTGGCAAAAAACAGCTTCCACCTATTCCTAAGAATGCAGCACCCATTACCAAACCTACAGCGACTGGCACTACAGCCCAGTCGGCCAATGGCACACACGCCTCCTACGGCCCCTTTTACTTGGAGTACTCTCTGCTGGCTGAGTTGTAAGTATTAGTCCAGTGTTAGATTTACACTGAGTCCTTAAAGGCATATTCTGCGTTGAATTAGGTTATGAGCATCCCTACGTAGAAGATTAATTCCAAGGTTGTTATCTCTTTTTGTATTGAGCTTACTTCTTGTCATGTGACCTGCAGCACACTGGTGATTAAGCAGAAGCTCCCTGGAATTTATGTCCAGCCATCCTACAAATCAGCACTAAGTAAGGACCCTTGATTTGAATATTTTACCATGTTTCATGTAAACACTCTCAAAATGGGTCTACTTTGCAAACAAAATTCACAATGCTTGTTTTACTGAACTTTATACCTTTTTTTTTTTTTTTAATTTTTTTTTATTAATGAATACTGTTTGTTTCCGACTGTAGTGTGGTTTGGGGTCATATTCATCAGACATGGCTTGTACCAGGATGGAGTCTTCAAATTCACTGTGTATATTCCAGATAACTATCCAGATGGAGAGTGTCCTGTAAGTTCTTTGTTCTTATTGGTTTGATTAATATGATCTTTTAGCTGTGTGCTTTTTCACGGTTTACAACGGCAAACACTTGCCGGTATGTGTACTTTTTTTACCATGAAAAAGTTCTGTGTTGATACATGACGTCGTATTTCAGAATCTATGAAATCATTGTCAAGACATTTTTGCAAAGGCTTTGGAAAAAAAGTATTCACATTTTAAAATTGCTTAATGTGTTTATAGTCCTATTAAAAACTGTCAAACTTTTACCTCTATGAAATGAGCTACAGTGTGGGTCCTCGGAGCTTTAATAAGTTGCTCTTCGAGATGATTTCAGAAATGCCTGATTTTACAGAAAAGTGAAAGTTTGTTGTGCTTTGTTTCAGAAATTTGTGTTTGACATCCCAGTTTTCCACCCTCTTGTTGACCCTGTGTCAGGAGAGCTTGATGTCAGAAGAGCTTTCAACAAATGGAGGTATCTTCTCTGCTCTTCTAACGGTCACATAATTAACTCTTTCTTTTTTATTTCTAATGAGTCATTTGTTTGCCAAATAAATATTTAGAATGATATACTGATTTTCTTCTTCTTTTTAGTTGTAAAATATTTATTCTGTCAGAACAAGGACATAACTGTAACTACAATTCTTAAATTGTGTGTAGTTTAAATAATTTTATCTACATTAAGTTCTAGTCGTTTTATTCACATGAAAATGGGATCTACTTTTGTTTTTCTGGGGGAAATGTGATGGTGTTTTCAGCTTTTTTAAATTTTTCTTTTAGACGGAATCACAACCACATCTGGCAAGTCCTTATGTACGCACGGACAATTTTCTACAAGATCAATACCACAGAACCACTCAACCCAGAGGCTGCAGTGCTGTAAGTTTCTAAGCATCCTTTCAAATGCATTTCTCTTTAAGTGAGAGCTGAACCATAAAATGAGACTGGATTTATTTCATAAATGTTGTATGGACTAGTTTATCCTGGGTGTACATGAAGAAAATTATTATTTTTCTTATGTAGCCAGTGTTCTCCCAGGTTTTTCTGTCAATTCTCAGTTCTGTTTTTTTTTATTTTTTTTTATAGAACATTTATTTTGAAAAGATGATTAATATACTTCCACGTGTTTTTGGTACTAGTCGGGACAGTAGGGGTAAATAAATGATTATTTGTATGTGCACAAAAGTAATACCACCTGCATAGTCAGGACACTAGTTTGGCCAACCCAGTCAATGTCCTGGGGCTGTGTCTGAGACAAAGCTAAAGTATATGTATTCATCAGATTGCGCTGGTCAGAGACAAAAACTCCCCCTCAGTAGGAGCACACAAGCAGAGCAGAGGAAGTGAGGGATCAGGCAGTGAAACGCATAAACGCTCATGCTCTGCTGAAGTAAAATGATGTAAATACCATGAATGAAGTCTTTAGTGGCATGAGATCGTTGCATGAATGCTGGTATCTTTATTTTTTTGTCTTTGACTCACGTTTATTGCAGAACCATGTACAAGCTTTTGTAAACAAATCACGTCTTAGTTTCTTGTCAAAAGTCATATTGGTCATATGTTTTTTACTTTCAGATATGAAAAGGATGTGCAGTTGTTCAAAAGCAAAGTGGTGGATAGCGTAAAACTATGCAACAGTCATCTCTTTGACCAGCCCAAAATAGATGACCCCTACGCAATAAGGTCAGTGAACTCGAGGTTTGATATCACTCAACCTTCATCAATACAAAGACACTTCCTAGTAAATTATTAATGCAAGTACACCCTGACAGGGAAGAAGTTGATATCTCACCTTGCGGCTCTTCTCCCTTTAACAGTTTTTCTCCGTGGAACCCAGCCGTTCATGAAGAAGCAAAAGAGCGAATGTTCACACACAAAGTAAGTGAAAAGAAATAAAGTAGGAAGTTTATTTATTTTTTTGGCTATTTCTTTACAAAGTATTTGAGCTGGATTGTGCAGTTCACTGTAGTGGTTTGTAGTGGGTTTGGTTAAGCTGGAGTGGGTGCTATCAGCACTTTGGTTGTGGTGAGCCTGTTGTATAACTGCTAATTTGCCTTTGTTGCTCTAGAGACGGCCAGAGGATCACCACAAGGGAACACAGGTGTCGGGGTTGTCTTGGGTGAAGCCAGGATCGACGCAGCCCTTCAGCAAAGACGACAGCCCTCCCCAGAGCTGAACCTGCAGTATCCTCGAAGCAGCCACTAGAGGGATCCACATGCATCAGATGCCATGCCTTTGGCTTGCATCAGCTGTTTATTGGGATCATGGTCCTTGAAACAGTTGGCAGAACTTTATATTAAATCTCCATGTTATTGCTCAGCTTTAAAAGCTTTGTAGGCATCTCCTCAGACAGCTTTAGAATAAGGAAACAAAGTTTGTATCATATGTAAATCAACGACAAATGGATGTCTCGGCAACATCATTTAGCCTGTGATGCAGTGCAAAGAGCTTTCTCATTTAGATGATCAGATCCATGCACATGTTGGGAAAGGTGATACAACATGCTGTCCCAAAAGGAGCTGAGGAGTAGGAGAATAGCGGTTTTGCGATCACATGGGTAGTATAGTGGACAAGATGTTCTATACTACTTGGTGAAATTGGCTCAGGACTGTTCATTCATCAGACTTGGAATGTTTTAGTCATAATTGTGTGAATGAAACTTCTAAATCCACACCTCTCCTATTACCCAATTTTATTGAAATATGTTTTATGTGTTTACCATTGGACAATGATTTGTTTTTAATTCCACTGTGTAAACTGTTGTCTTACATGATTTGTAATATATACAAAGCAGAGCAGCAAAGTATGGATCTTCTGAGATGAGATGCTAAATAAGTAAGCTCCTGTATTTTATTGTCTGATTTTGAAATCATTTTGAATGTTTTATGTATCATTTGTTATTAAAGGTTTGGTGTGTAAATACTGGATGCTGTGCTCAGCTTTGACTTAAAGACATTTCTGCATTAATGTTTGGGTTTTCTACGTGAATGGCTTGGTTTTCTTGACTTTCTTTGCAAATGTTACTAAGTTTCCTTCCAAATTATTTTTTCAGTCAAAGATGTTACTGCTGGTTTCCTCTATAGGTCTGAATGAAAATCAGACATATATATTGATAAGGTTAGTTTTTGGGTTTTGTTTTTTTTAGTTTATGAACAACACAACAGAGTTTTGTCCAGCTATGGTTAGCCACCCTTTCTGATTTGCCAGACTAATTTCCTTTATGTGATGTTTTCACTGATGGAGGGCTCTGGTGTAATGGACTTGACTAAAATATAGAAATTGCAGATTTGGTGCTTGACCTGTATCTATTTATAATTGCAATAAAAAGCAAAGACATAACCAAATCTCAGTGTAATTCAAGTGCTGTCATTTTGGCTGTTACCATCTTCAACCTGGAGTATGAATGTTTCTTTTGTGGCAAATCCTCCTCAAGTTTGTGAAGACTTGTCTACATTGAGGAGTCACAAGATCTAATGCTTTACTCTGAAAACAATAAAGTAGTCACGTTACGAATTTTTGTCTTTGCACTTGGCTGTTTTGTAATGTAATTTCCATGTTACAATAGCATAATATACTTGAGTCAATTTATCTGAAAAAAAGATGAATACACTAGGTTTGTTTTGGATGGTAATGTCATACATCAGCCCCCATTTTACACTTGAACCTAATGACAAAACTGGAACAACTTTATTTCTGTAAGAACTTCTTTAGGGAATTTTGATAATAGGGTACTCGCATAATTTTTTATTTTAGTAATATATAGTTTTTGTAATTGAGGATTACAAAACATCTGGGGGCACTGTAAAAATCAGGTCATTCAATAATCATTTTTATCTACTTTTGTTCAATTTAAGACTAAAATGTTACGAATAATACAAGTAAATTATGAGCCGATTTAGTGAAAATAATAAATTGGCCAAGGGCAGTCACCAAAAGAGCCAGCAGAGGTCGGTATGTATCCACAGAGGTGAGCAGCTTTTCCATTACAGTCGTGTTTGCATTGAGTAGTAGGGCCTACTCCGGTGCATGTGCGAAAGTAAAACCTCTCTGGATTGGCTCTGGCTCGTACGCGGCCATCTTATGCACTCTGTCAACATAAGGGCTTTACAGACGAATCAATGATTTCATCAGCTGCTCTGCCGGGCTGGTTGGGAGCTGAACCCTACCAAAAGAGTTCATACCGGGGTGTCGGTTGTTGATTTACCACGGGGAGCTGAAATTGTTGCAAATTGTTGGAGGTCCAATCATAGAGGGGGTCACTTTTATGCAAATGAGGTGTTATCAGAGTCACGTCAGCAGCAGCGGTAGAGCCGCTGTGCCGTGGTCGCCAGCAGGAGTAGGCTACAAGTAACAACACTGTCACAACTTCGCCGATAACACTCTCCCCGTACTCACGTCCGGAATTCAACTTTAGTGTTCGTTCCAGGTAAGGCAGAACACTTGTTTTTGTGTTTTGTGACACACATTTGAGACTCGAGGAGTTCGGTTTTCATTCAAGGCGAGGAGCTGTCAAATGTCTGACAGTCCGTGAGTGGTGCTCGCCTCAGCTGTCTGATGACACACCGCCTTGCTGAGTGTGTAGTCTTCCTCGCAGGAATAACACCGTTGACTTGCTAAACTTGTCCTCACTAGTTTCCCTTATGTTTTCCACTTTAAACAGAAAGTGTCTTTTGTTCTTTTCGTAAAGTTTTGTTGGGTAAATTAAAATGCGTGTGGCTCATAAAGCTAATAAGTAGGCTACCCACTCGTCCGCGGTTCTTGGTCCTGAACTGACAGCGACCAGCCGGGCTCGGTCAGAACTGCACTTTACATTTGGACGCTGTGACTGTGGGCTGGGACGTTTCACTGGCAGCATTACTTCAAAATGTAAAGGAAAGTCAGTCGAGCACCAACTAGTAGTAGCCTATTATCATGGACACCATCACTGTCGACCTCTCCATCCATCTCCGGCCTCCGTCCTCCTCCCCCTCCTCCTTTGGGCTCAGTGAGGAAGCGTCACGACACCTCTTGAATCCCTTGTCTTTCTAAGTGACGCTCCGGTTAAGAGCACGTGTGAACCGTCTGTCCAAACAACCCCGGGGTGAAGGAATACTCTAAAAACACAAATGTCCTGCGTGCATTTACATTGTTTCATACTTGACGAGCAGTTGCGCTCAAGGCAGCGCAACAAATTGCCGCGTCGCTGACTTAATTAAACACCGCGCTGCAAAGAGCTGAAGCCATTGCTTGTTGAAGATGAAGAGGATGCAGCCGACTTCAGAGGTGAGCCCGGCAAGTCCTTAGGCTAATGAAGGCAAAATGCTCCACCACAAGCTTTAAAGTCTCAAAGAACCTGTCGCCAAGAGTGTCAATTCAACAGTTTAAATGTTTTGACTAAAAGTAGGTCCATGCGCGTGAAGTCACAGCAACAGTTTCACATTTTATCCCAAATGTGACAAACTTAACGCGTGCATCTTTAGTAATGTTCACCTATTTGGATTTAGGCTTAATTGTGCTGGTTTTAAGTTGGTAAACGGAGGTGCTCATTGTGTTATTCCCCAGAATTCAATGGCGACCTACAGGTACAGTTATGTTCACAGGTGTTGTTGATGGGCCCTGTAGGGCTTTTGCTGCACGTGAGTGGATAATGCTGGCAACGTCACGATTGTGGAGGAAACAGCTGGAAGGCGGATACGTCTGTGCCCCAGGGCCAGATTCGGGGTGTTAAAAGGTTGATGGGGCTTAGCTAGCAGGCTTAGGGATAGCCTACCCTTGAAAAATCCGCTGGAACGAATTTCTTACTTCTTCTCACTTAGTCACCTCCGCGAGGCTAAGTCTTCAATTTATCTTATAAACAGAATCTCTGTCAAAAAAGTCTTTGAAATATGTTTAAATGAAACATATTAAACAAAGTTGAGGGTTACTGGTTTGTTAATTAGAGGAGAGGACACTGGCACATGGTTTTGTTCTTGGCACAAACCAAAATAGACTCATCACTTTAATTGAGAACATCTCAAATGAGTAATTCTCATTAGAGAAGGTTTAATTATCACTCATGTTTGACTTTAAGTGGTAGTTTTCCATCATGCTCTAATTTTTACCCATTGACATTCATGCACATTTTTTACTAAATATTCTTACATAAGTACTATTGGCTTTCTCTTGTCAGGCAGTCCTCACATTTTTTTTGTCTTTTAAGTGTTTTACAAATCATCTGTATGTTGCTTATGAACATAGTCATCCAAAGGAGAAAAACGTGACAAGAGACAGTCAGATTGCAGGAGAGTCCCATGATTCCCCAGGAAACAGAATAGTAAACAATGCACATGCGTGAAGCTGAACTGGGGCGTACAACCCAGACTGAAAACAGGAATGACTTCATGCCTGTGTGAAAAGATTTGTATTGGTAAATGTTGACATTAGTTCCTGGAAGACTGGCAGTGTTTAAGGAATGTGCCTATCTGCATGACAGTAAGCCATGAAAGCAAGTGTATTAAACGATAACACCATTTAAAAAAAAAAACTTATTTTGTTTGGTTTGTGATTTAAAATTATTTCAGGCTTAATGTTTTGGGAAAATTTGAATTATTTCACCCTATTCTAAATGGACTGCTGAAATAAAGCATACTACTTATAATTAAATTAGTTTACCAGTATAAATCAGGTTTACAACATAACACTGGGATTTACCTTGCAGCATCAGTATCACCTGTACTCAGTCCTCAATTTCTGGGATATATTCTATTCAGACAAGTATGTTTAAAAACCTTTATTATCAGGAATGATGACAGAAAATGCCATATTCCTTCCCATTTAATCTTATCAGCCTGCCTATAATTTTGAATCTAACAAAAGTATCTCTAGTGCACCTGAGATACTGAATAAAATGTCTGTTCATTTGGGATTCTGTGTGCCTGGGTTCATAGCAAGTCAGCATATAATAATGACTGACCTGGGTAAGCGGCTGTCATCTTCAGCTTGTCTGTGGTTGCAACACACACACACACACACACACACACACACACACACCACACACACACTCACACGACCTCATCTGCCTGTGTCCCTAGCTGTTGAAATTCTATCAGCTGTCTGCACCTCCCACACATTCTGCAGTAGCAGGGCAGGCAGCTTCATTGGTTGTGGTGGTGGGGGGTTGAGGTGCGTTTTTGTTGAGGTTCTTGTGTGTGTGTGTGTGTAAATAGGAGGGGTTATAGGAAGATGCTCCTGATGGCTGACGGTTGGTTTGAACCAGCTGCTTCGCTACACACATGAAAGGCAGTCTTGATGGATAATTGAAAGTGCCAAATTTATCTCAGATCCCTTTGATCTAGCCATTACCTGCCATTTGAAAGCATGGACATTCATGCATTTATTTTAAGGGAACTGATGATTAAAATAAATCGTGAAAAAATATGGACTAAATGAGGTGTCATGTCATTTCACTGGAAATGATTTATGTACTGTGTGTAAATCATTGATTATGATGACTCATTTGATTGTAAACAGTGTTCTGATGTTTATGTAGACCATACTTTACTTTGCAATAAGTCACTGTTATTATTTTCTCATATCAAAGTTGATATTTATGTTCGTGTCCTTTTGTTTTATTTTTGCCAGGTGCACAATATAATGGACATGCTGTAGCTTTGGTCACTGTGAGGCTCATTGGGACCAGATTGGATCCAGTGGAGTTTCAAAGGTTCCAGTTCACCTCCAGACTTTGCAATGGACTTCTTTAATGACCCCAACCTGTTTGTTGGGGGCTTGGAAGGGCTTGATGAGGAGGATTGCTTCCCCTCAGCTCCTTCACTTGTGGATGAGCTAAATCTCAGTGCTGACTTTGAGCCACTCCAAGTAGGGCCTCTAGGGAAGCACCAAGACATGATACCACCAATTTCAACCCAACAAACCATGCCTGTTTATGGTGAGCAGATGACTCACTACATTGGTATAAAGGGACAGAATCCTATGGGCCAGGCTTTTTCTGGTACACGGGGTCAAGGTGGTGGTGGTGGTGGTGGTGGTGGGGGCATGATTGCAGATCAGCATGGCCAGTACCACAATGTTGTCATGAGCCAAGCACCTCAATCCAATGGGCTATACTGTAACAGTGGCAGTCCAATGTGGGGAAACCAAGACCAGAATGGGAATATGTACCACCCCTTGTCTCAACATGAGCAACAACAGCTTTGTCACCAGCAGCAGCAATTACATGTCCGACAACAACAAACACCACAGCAGCAACATCACCCGTCTCATCATCCACATCAGCAGCAGCAGCTGCATCAACAGCAAAGTCATCGGCAGCAGCTGTTAAACCAGCGCAGCACCATCAAATGAACACACAGACTTTGTCTTTGCAGCAACAGCAGCATCATAATTTCTCTTTTCACCAGGGAGGTCAATGTCACGTTCCCCATACTCAGCAGGTTCAGCACCAATTAGCTGTAGGAGGACCAAGGTTCCACTCAAGGGTTCTACCAAATAAGCCTTATTTGGATCAGCAAAATGCTTCTTTGGGTGAGACATGCATACTACCACAGCAGCAGCAGCAGCAGCAGCAGCAGGGTAGCTACCAGCTACCCAAGGGAGGTCAAGCCTTCTCTAGAGCAGTACCGGAAGACCCTAACCTACACTTTCCCATGCATTCATCACCTGTGATTCACTCGCTGCCCACATGCTCTGTCAGTTCTGCCACTGCTTACCAAGCGGCTCAGTACCCTGCCTACCCTGGAGAGCCAGAAATACCCCCCCTCAGCCAGCAGTCTTTGTCCACGGCCTCTGAGTCTAGGCCCACAATCACCTCTGCACCCCTGACTTCTACAATGCCTGAGCTATCAGGGACAGCAAGTCAGTTTTCATCCACAGCTGTTATGAGTCAGCAGCGCACTAGGGCATCAGTCAGTCTGACAGAGGAATGTCCTTTTCGGGCCCTACATTGTTCTGGAGAAACCCAGGGAAACTGCAAGTCATCTGAGATGTTTGGCGAATCAATGAGCTGCTACCCCAGTACAGTCAACCATCTGCCTTCCGAGCAGCCTCAGAGCTGTGGGCCTATCAACACTAATGGATACAAAGCAACAGGAGACAATCTCCTGCAATCACAGGCTCAGGATCGAGACATGGAAGGCCTGGAGCCTCCTGATCTACTGCCTGACCTAATGCCCCAGCTGGAGGCTGCTCTCAACCAACAGGATGACTCCAGCTGTTCTTGGGCCAAGTCCAGGCAGGAGAGGGGAGATGAGGAAAGGACACCCCTACCTGTTGAGTTCAAAGGAGGGAAGGTAATACAGTGCTAAACATTTAAGTATGTGTTACTTTATTATAGCGCTGCAGGCAATTTTAGCCACACTGCACAGGAGTAATCATTTAGGGGAATTGTGGTTGGGTGAAGGCTAATACATTGAAATTAACTGAAATATTTAGAAGTTATCTCGACTGTGCATATCAATGTGTATCAAAGACTAATTCTTTGCTGATTTAGTGTGATCTTCCCAGCCTGGCAGAGAATCTGGCCATTCATGTAATGTTTAACTAACTATCCTAGATAGCACATGTGCTTGTGTGGAAGGACACATTCAATCAGTGGTGGAGTTGGGGGAGGTGGAGAGGCTCCACCTAGAGCCATCTGAAAGCCTGCTGAATATGATAATGGTCTGTCCAGCTTGGCCTGTATCTGCCCTGTATTTCGGCAGCAGGTCAGGCCTGATTAGGCTGAGAGTGGCAAGAGTGTCTTCAGGACTTAGCTGTAAGCATACTTAGGGCTATATCAAGATGTGGGTCAGGGCAAGCCAGAGGCACTTGCACACTGCTTCGCTGGAGTGTGGGGGAGGTTGCACTCAGTTGTGGAAGCTGCCACACTTTCTGAGTTTCTGTATATGTGTTTTTCAGTGCACGTGCACATGCGAGAGAGCAGGCGGAAAGAAAAGAGCGTGGTGGAGGAGAGTGGTTGGCGCTTCAGGGAGGGGGAGGGGTTTGGAAGATGGAGAGAGCAGGAGCCCATGGAAAAAAAAAAAAGGAGAGCTTATGAAAGAAAGGGACAGAGAGGAAGAGCATGAGAGGGAGAAGAGGAGAGGGGGAGGTTGGGAGAATGCATTAGCTGGCTGTAACAGGCTTCAGGCGGTTCCTGGATCTTAGTTGGATAGTAACCTAGCAGCATCCACACAGCCTCCTGGCCCACGAGTGACACATGACCAGCAGCAAAGCAACAGATGTTTCTTCACAGTCTATCCTTTTAAAAAGGCATGATTTTCAATTAATCCTGTTCTTTTTTATAATATACATTACACCAGAACCATTACTAATATAACATGTACCAACAATAAGAATCAGAATCAAACCAAATAAAACACATTTCTAGAGGGTTGCAGAAACAGAGTATCTTAAACTGGACTTATAGACATTGAAAGTTCCCAAAGAAATATTTCACAAAAAGATTGGGCCTCATTTACTCATATCTGCGTACAAATTGTTCTTACTCTGTGCATAAAATAAGTGCAATCGCAAAATCATTGTCGGGATTCATGACTCGTGTGTACCAGCCATTTTTCTTCTCTCCACCTTGCATATGTTAGTGAATCACAATCATTCTAAATCCATAGGCGTGTGCCCGCAACCCGCAATCATCATACTACCACACCCCCATCTCTCAATAGGACATCCGATTGGCGTATCAGCACGAGAGCGGTGAGGTGGAAACAAGCAGAAGTTGCAAGAGATGGCACCAAACAGCAAAAAAGATCGGTGTGTCTGGAGGCTTAGATGCCGTTACAGTGAATTACATAGTTGCAGTAATTCGGTACATGCATTGGCAGTCGGCATCAGCTGATAAGCCCTTCGTCATACTCTGCACACATGTTTTGATGGTCTGATGCGCTCTCTTCTGAAGGCATGGGCTGCAATTTCTTACAGAATGGCTGGATCTTTACACTTTCTTAGATGTAAATCAAAGTCATGTACTGTATGTTCCCTGCATGCACTTAAATAGGCTCCAATTAATAAGCTGGTTTTGGTAACAGATGCGATATTTCATGGCAATATTAGTGGGAGTGGTCAATGATTTCAATATGAACATAGTCATATTCTTGATTGTAAACTCTTTTATTTAAGATGAAATATTTTAGATTAAAGAAGAATAATAAGGATGAAAAGGATACATTTTTTAAAGGTCCCATATTATGCTTTTTCTGGTTTTATATGCTCTTTAGTATGTTTTCCAAGTGTCCTGTGCATGTTTAGGCACATCTATGTGGAAAAATTCAAAGTCCGCAGAAACACGGCTTCTCCTACGTCCTCCTGTTAGCTGTAGCATTAGCTGCATGTAACGCTCGGTTTCAGCCCCCCTTGACAAAAATTTGTCAGTGCAGCGTCATTGTCAGTGTGAGATCACTGATCTAAGTCCATTGGCTCGTTGTGGCAAGCCCTGCAGCTCATGTTGAAATTTCCGAGAAGCGTGCTGAGCAACTGACCAATAACGACAGAGCTGATCGGCAGACCAATCAGAGCAGACTTGGCCCATGTGGGGTCTAACAGTGTGGGCTCAACAGAGTGCAGCTGACGGACTCAGAGTGTAGAGGGAGCAAGGAGGAGCAGTACATGAAAACAGACAATTTTTTCGAACTTTTAGCTATTGTGAACGTACAAAAATAGGTACATAGATTAAATATATGAACCCCAAAAAGGGCATAATATGGGCTCTTTAATACATTTAGTCAATGCATTAGTAAATTCACGTTTTTACATATTGTCTGTGAAACATGTAGGCTATTTGAAAATTGTGTTTTCGATGGCCCGCTAACTGGCAAATCTGACAGTCGTTTTTAATTCCACTGACAACAAATACGTTTTTCTTTGACATTATCTCTAAGAACCAACCTTTTCAGTCTGCACCAATTCATTCATTATTACAATTTTACAGTCTCTGTTTGAATGACTCTAATCTTTCTGATCCATCTCATAATTCAAGAAGAAATGTGTTAGGTCCTGCCACTTTTGAAACTATACACCTATGCCCATGAGACAAAACACACCCTGTCTGTTGAGTATTACTTATTATCCCCCAACAGACAGCAGGCCATAAATCAACAAGTGGTCTGCCTAACCAGAGCTCATCCATACCGGCCATTTGCCCACTGCAAAGGTCCTTGATTGAAATGAGGCCATGAACCAAAGGCAAACGAGCAAGCCTCTCCCTTTCTGTGTCAACATCCAGCCCTGTGTTGATGCTTACAGGCTGACTGTGCTATTCATGTGCACTGATGTGTGAAGAGCCTGCTGATGGTGTGTTTGCTGAACAGGCAAGGTATCAGGGGATCTGCCCACTCCTCATTTCTGTGGTGAATGTGGCTAATTAGGATTTCCAATTGTTTAAATGGTCAGCTGCAGCTGTAATAAAAACACACAGTTCAAGATTGAATAGTTGTCCCATGTCACAGTATTTAAATATTAATTTGGGTAAAACATAGTGTCTTTTGCAATGGATCTGATGAACAGATGTGTGTTGAACTTTAGCCAGTCATCTAAATAATTACAGTGAAATGTTTGTAAAGCTTAAATGTTTTCATGTCAGCAGTCTGTCTTTATAGTCAGGAGGTTAAGAATGATTTATTCCAGGTTGTTTTTAAAGTGGCAGACAAAATATTTTTTTTTAGATCTGACATGTACATGTGTAAACAGACCTTTGTGAGTTATATTGTAAATCAATGCTTTTTGTTTTCAAGCCAGATAATTACAGTTCTAAACTCCCTTAGGTCACTGTAGTGTCACATCCTGAGCTGCTTACTCCATAGCTAGGCAAGAGTGGTCTACAGACACTGGTCAAACATTTTAACATGGATACGTGCTAGACCAACAAAGTTTGTTCACATAAACAGTTCCACAGTTGTCTGGAGTGTGTCTGGTTGTTCCTACCTTGAGCAAATCACTATCTAAAACTTAAGTTTGTGGCAAATGAAGCAACAGTGTGCCATATTTATTACAAAATCTCTGCAGAGGAGGGCAGCCAATTGGTGGAAGTGTGTGTCACTGTGGGTTGCACAGGATAGATGAATCCTGTAAAAACCTGCTAGAAAGCCTGTAACATTAGCAACATAAAATCAATTTATGGCATTTATCAAATGCAGTGTGTAGAAAGATATTTTTTATACACTGCGTTACTTTACATAACTTTTCCATTGAAAATCCAGTTGGAGTATTGTCAACTTACCTTTGCAGATTGTGGTTCTGCAACAGCGCGGTAACAAACTTCCTATGTTATTATGACATAGTACTTGTACTTTTCATTCTCATCGTGTTATTGATTGTCTAGTGTTAGTGTTTTGATTCACAATGCATTACGTCCCTGTGGAGGTGCGAGAGGTGTGGCTTTTCAAATAAAAGCCCCGCAGTAACATACGAGTGATGCCACTCAGGCTTTGTCCATTAATATTTACAGTCTATGTGCAACAGTAGCACATTCAAAACAAGTTTTTCTGTTGTACACTAAGTAGAGTAGTGGTGTCAGTCCTTCCCTTTGGAAATTATAGGAGCCATCATTTATATGTGTAACTTACATGGGTTACTATGTTTGTTTTGCATACAAGAAACTAGTGACTGGTTATGGACTGCATAACTCCAAAATCTGTGTTATGTAGCTGATCCTTAGTATGTTAATTTCCTACTTTCTACAATATCCTTAAATGGAGTATGTTATAGTTTAATGATTGCAGCAAAGTAAATAAATGCAAAAAAAAGACTATAGTTAAATACATTTATTTTGTCTGCCAGTTACATTTTCTGTCTGTTTTAAAAGCGTGTTGTTTCAGATGTGATCTTAGTCTAATGGAAGTTTTATCTGTTCTGGAAAATTTCTACATCTTTTCTCTTGTCATGCCAGTATTCTTACTACTACTAACTCGAAACTACTGTATGGCTAATGATGACCAGGGCTGCTGTAGCCACTACAGCCCCTGGCAGTGACACTGAGCAATAGCCTCCTCCCTGTCTGCTTGTGTTGCTGGGTTAGATTTATTATCTGAATGGGTATCGCTGTTCACTCCTCTCTACCCTGCCTTGGCCTCTGAGCTGTGTCACCAGTATGCAACTTAGAAGGTGTGTGTGCATGCACTTGCAAGTAGGATAAGTGGTGTATTGGTGTTTGATATAGCTTTGTTGCTTACTGACCTCTCTGAGGTTCATACAACTCCTAACAGGACAGGGCAGGCGATGCCATAATAAGCCCTGAAACTTGACTCCTTGCATCACCCTGGCCCTCACCCTAACACCCACATGCACCACACACATAGAC